CCGTGAACACGGCGCGACCGGTCTCCCCGAACGGTTCGGTAATTGACTTATTTGGACTGTTGCGCCGACGTGACGAATGTCCTTGTTACGCAACGCGCGCCGTTGCTGCCGCCGCGGTGGAAGGGATTGGACAGCGGACCGTCTTCGACGCGCGCGTACATCGCACGCGACTTGTGACGAGTCCCGACTGCACGCGAGTTTCAGCGCCGCGACACGATCGGTGGTCGTCACGTATTTATATATTTATAACCCATACGTCCCGTATTTTACGGGATTCTGTTCCTGTGCCCCTCGTACAGTTATAAAAATAATACTTTTGTCCCGTATTTTGTTTAATCCATTTCCAATGCACCTTATTTTGAAAATTAAATTGTTTAATACCATTAAGTCTTTTAAATCTTATATCAATGATAAACCAAAAATATCTAAATCGAACGATAATTAATAATAATCGATTATAAAAATAAAAATAAATCTAAAAAAAAATAGGAAAATCCGCCTAATTATTGGATTTTAATTTTAATTGAAATTTATATTTATTCGAAGTATCAAATATTGTGTTTAACTTTGTTTTATAGTAGGTATATTTAGTAACTGTGAGGAAAATGAAATTTTACATCGAGGCCAAATGTAATTTTAGCTCCCAAATGTTTACAAAGAGATAACAAACATCACATATTTAATTTTGTAATAAGTTAATTGCTAACATAGATCCCCTCCCCGAGTTAACACCAATGTGAATTTCAAGAATAGGTATGATTTAAAATGTCCCGTATTTTTACAAAATAAATCTGGGATCCCTACGTCACGTTTCCAGCCGGTCACTGATCAAGGCGCGTACGTTTCGCTTGTGCCGACCGGTTAGGTTGTCGTTCGTGTTTCGCAAGCCGCGGTACGAAATTCGTCCGCGTTTCTGTCGGTGTAGTTGAGCGGCACAAGGATTCCGGAAACGCATTCAAGTGCATCGCAATCGATCGGGTTGAATTTTTTTCTAGATTTACTCCCTCAGCTTCCGTAGTACGTTTAATTCCAACGCTTCAGAAACGTATGCGCGTGTTTAATAGTTCGATTCAAATGTTGTGCCCGATCGATCTGAGGCGAATTTTACGCCCATGTATTGATTCCGTTTCAAGAATCCTCGTCAGTCCGATCCATCGACGATGTAACGATGGACGAAAAGTGGATAGGTTTTACGGCACGCGTGAAAGACTACGATAACTCTTATCGAATCCCGTTTAAAAGGTCTTCATACTCAAAAACGTGACCCGGGCTTAACGCTCCGTATAGATCGACGACGATAGGAGCTACAGTACGGACGCGTAAGTGCGAGTGGATGATCCACGTGGATCCATTTTAATTAATCAATCATTTATATACGATTTTTTTCACAGAAAAATCATGTGTTGCGCGATACAAAACCATTCAGAGTAAACTTAAAGTGAAAGCTCTTTTTATTTTTCGTTTTAAAAAAGAAAACATTATCTATGATGTAACGTTTTCATTTTAAACTTATTTCAATAGTTTTTATAGCTAAACACAAAACTATAAATTTTACAAGTGTTGTTAACGAATAACTTTGAGTCCGTTTTTGTTAGCGAAAAACAATAAAAACGAATAAAAAGAATAAGTAATGTTCTTCTCGTTAAAAAAGAAATAATAAAAAAATGGAGAATCTGCTACGCATTTAAACCGAATGATTTTGTCCAGCGTGAAATGTATTTTTATTGGTCTCACACGTTCTCTTAATCAAGCGGGAAAAATACTTAAAATATGTGAATGTGAATAACACGTTATATGTTTTAAATATTTATGGAATAACGTGCAAATCGATGATGTTGGCGGTCGATTCATCATTATCATCCCTTATTGTAAAATAATAATTTGTTCGACAACGGTTCATGTAATAAAAAAAGAAATACGGCACCGCGGTATTCACGTGTGACAGCATCCGTGCTTAAAATCATACGTTTTAATATTATTATTATTATTATTATTATTGTACTAAACCGTGACTCAACGAACGTATACAACGATGAGAAACGTAAAACCGTTTATAAACACAATAACGGCACGCGTTCGCGTTCAGCGGATAGTATTTGCATATTCGTCGGTTGCTTAAGTATTTGAAAAATAGTCGTACTAAATCATTTATGTATAAGTATACTAAAGACGGAGAAAACCGTAATGTAAGTGTGGTAGCCCCGGACCGTTGACGAAAACTGTTAGCTTATGTATACTAAACGCATAACGTTGAAGATAATAAACAATTTCGATGATAATACAGATCGCTTTGTTATCGGGGGTATTATCTCGGACAGATGCTTGAGACCAAAGCAAATTTGTCACCCGCAGCGGTATATACATACGTGAATGTATGTAGATTAGTTAGGGAACGGTCTGTGATCACAGACGCACGGAAACGTCCCTGGAATGCGAAAAACCGATTCATCAACTGCATTAGCATACATGATGCACCTTCTAAGCTCTGGAGAAGAAAAATATAGAAAAAATAATTATAATAATTCAAACGATACAGTGGCAGCACGAAATATTTTACTTCATAAGTCCTGTTAGAATTTTGCCCACCCACCCACCCACCTAAAAAGAAATTTAAGGGTAGCTTGTTAAAAGAGCTCCCCCACTATTCGTTCTACATGTTACATACTCACTCGATACCCAATAGTCAATACCCACCCACCTACCCATCCACTGAGTTGAGTCCAGAGACTCAAAAATCTGCCGTCACGCCGCCACTGAAACGATAATTTGGAATCGATTTGGATTCAGTTGGAAAAGTATAATTTAGAACTCTTTAATATTTAGTGTACAACTCGAATCTTATAACAAAAAATTAGGGTATTAGTTTCGCAGTTTTTCATTTCGGTTTACGAAATAAATGCATTTTCAAATGTGAATGAAAAAGGCATCAATTCACGAGGGAGAGAGGGGGATAGGAAGAAAGTGCTTTTTGAGTTCAATAAAAAAATAATAATTTTCATGTGTTTGATTAGTTAAATAACTTATCATTTTTTTTTTTTTGACATGCGTATGTCATCCACATAAAAAAAAATTGTCGTTTTGTTAAATGGAAGACATCGTATATTCTCTTATCGAAATGCAAACAGTAACTATTACAAGCTTATAAATTCTAATAATATTTAATGCATCGTTATTTATGATATTACGTTTATCTTAGGATCCAATTTTGATTTTATAAAACTAGGAGCAGTGACTTAAGGACCACATTTCACATTACCACCTTGTTATCCAACAAAAACGTAGAATGTTTACTAAAGATAGAACAACAAATACGATTAAAGAATAGTGGTAATATATATATATAGAAAATACAGTACGGCTCAAAGAAAATACTTTTTCAAAGAAATAGTTTTCCGATAAATTGCGTTTCATGAAAAATACGTATCCAACAATTTATGGTTCCTAGAAAAATAGTTCATGGGAAATACATTTACGACCAAATATGTTTCAAATAAAATGCGGTTCTGACGAAATGCGTTTCCGACAAAATGAGTTTCCGATCAAATATTTTTCCAGATAAATACCAGTCCCACCGTATGTGTTTCAACTTTTTACGCACCTCCTGGCCATGATAATACTATAATGTTATGTAATGATGTCTCTAGTACTCGTGAGTCGTGATGTTACAAAAGTAGAGCTAAATATAGAAAATACGATGACATTTTTAGAATTGTATAAACGCGAGCGCGTTTTGAACCCGCCCAGAGAAGGAGGCCGGCTCCCCCAAGGGTGATTCCCAAAATTATACATGTTCATTATCGCCCGAATGCGGCACTGTCAGTTCAGCATTACCCATTCCTGCACCACGAGGTAAATGATTTGTGTATTATTACTTGCAGACAATGCATTGTCGTTGTTTTCTTTCACGACCATTACTTCATCAGATTACGGAGAAAGTTTTTTTTTTTTTTTTTTTTTTTTTTTTTTTTTTTTTAATGGAAAATTTTAAATTGGAGTTAAAAAATGGAATACTTTATATACGAATAATTTAAAACGTCACTAAAATAATTTTACCGATTTCGCCAGTTTTATTTATTTTTTTATTGCGCACGTAAAATATTAAAATATTTGTACATATTTTTTTCGTCGCAGCACCATCTCGTTGATGTATATTGATGTATATTAAGCACACGAACAGTTTACGCTCATACTGCAATGGAAACATTTGAATTGTAAATAATAATTAATAAATATACCTATGTTTATAGTTTTTATTCTATATTTATTCGAATTATGTAAATCATCATCATCATCATCATCATCAACAGCTTAACGATCCATTAAGGACCTGCGCTGCCACTAGTAAGCCTTTCCGTTTTTCTCTGTCCAAAGTTTAGTCTAACATTGCATTCTATCAGTCTCATATCCTTTTCTACTGTGTCTTTCATTCTTGTTCTCGGTCTTCCAAGTGGACGTTTTTTTTTATTTATTTTACCTATCAGAATGAATAAATTATGTAAATCGTCAAGGAAAAATATAAAATGCACTCTGAACACTCTTAAAATACGCTACATACAAATCAACAAAATGTTTTCCGCGAAATGCTAAAGACCTATAAAACCATCACCATCATTGAAAGCGGAACTGTGTCCACGAACACCATTTCTGCCACCTTTGGTCACATGACTGTCTACGATTGCACGTTCGGAAACCGAAATATTCCACTGAAAACGAATCAATAACATTGAATTTTCCGTTTTTAACAGTCAATGGTAATCCGCGCAATATTGCGTCACGCACATGGGGGCGATGTGCCGAACGAATGTGCTAAAACACGAAAAATGTTCCCATTTCATACGCCCACATATTACGCGTACGCCACGACATCGAAATCCGTTCTGCGGTTGTTCGAAAACTTTTATTGTCCCGTAAACGTTCGAAATACGTTTAAAACGTCTTTGAAACAAGTGGCCCGTGAATATTATCCAAACTACGCTGCCGTTCGGAAACGATAAACTAACCTGTAGACTACCAGAATCACGCGTCCTTGCGCTAGTTGCCCATCGTGACAAGATTTACTTTCTTCGCGTTTGCAGTCGCACAACGAGCCACGAGAACCGCGTCCTGTCAAACCGGTAAGGTTAGGGTGCGATAACGATACGATTCGCAATCGAAAATCATTCGCGCACTGCGCCCCCCGGACTGGCGAGATAAGCGGTTCCCAAACTTCTTCGAGTCGCGGGCACTCTGGTTTACGAAAACCAAGGATTTCCCGGAGCGCCGTCCCCCAAAGTCGTGGCACGACTAATCGTTAAGAACGGATCATTTGGATTTAAAATTTATTTTTAGACCAAATCATATTCCGTGGCACGCGTTGCGCGCCGCCGGGCGAAAGATTATCACCTCCGTTTTTTTTTCCACATTAGGTATTCCTTTCAAAGTCGGTGAGCTCGAAATGCGTTTATGCAACGTACACGCACTTCGGGCTCGCGACAATCGCGGTTAAATGTCAATGTCAATTGATACAATGCAATATGTATTATGTGCGGAATTAATGCGTGCGTGCGTTAGCATAAAACCGCCACGAAATCGATTATCCGTATCCGTCGGCGGCGGGATTGCACGAGAAACGAGCGTTTTCGCGGGATTCGCATTCGGCGTATGATGTCTTCAAATATAATAATAATATAATAATAAGAATGTCTACGAATAACCGTGATCCGGGCCGTCCGACAACGGAATAAGAGTTCTTTCATAGGCGCAACCAGGGTTTTTAGCACCCTTGAATTCAAATGTAGCACTCTGTTTTTTTTTCAGATCTATATAATCTATAGTAATTACAGTAAAATACCATTTAATTTTACTTTCAGCAATTTCAGCACCCTCAATATTCGAGCTCTAGTTGCGCCCATAGAGTTCTTCAACACGTTCTTCGATAACGATGACCGGTGTTCGCGGACGATCCAGTGCTCAGAAGCGTCTCGTGGGTAAAGCAGGATGACGGACGACAAATACGGTTTAGCGGGCGCGTGCACGTTTAAAAGTCGTTAAGGTGTCGATGCGGTACAGAACATATGTAATCTGTGATACTTTTAACCAAAACAAATCCCGTACTGAAATCCCGATAACAATAAATCCGTGCGGCATTGCGTACAATGTATGAACAACGATAGGTTTTTATTTTTTCCCACGCACAGCTTTGTTCCGTTATCGTTTGATGACGATAATATTATATGTTGCACTACACGAACTCGGAATAAACGAATATATTTGGTTCGTAGAAAAAATGAAGTAATAATCTCGGCCGTTGATGGCGTAAGATGGATGTATAGGCAGTGATGTATTCGCATTTTTTTTTAGGGTATACGCTCAGCACATAAGCGTTTATTGGTGGGAAGAGGGGGACTAAACTCCTTAAAAAAAAAAGGTCTTCCTACCTAAACTCAAAATTACATAATATGATGAGGACGTGGGATATACCACCGCCAAACATTTTTCTCATGAGGGAGAGAAAGTACAAAATGTCAAAAAATATTTTTTGAGGGATTTGAAGTGGGTGCGCGCCCCCATAGTCCCCTTGGATCTACGCTTGCTATGGAAGTCTACATTGTAAACTTATCTTTATTTAACTCATAGGTATGTATCATATATGAAATTGAATAATATATTATACTGATGTTAATATTTATTTTCATGAAACCTAATGTTTTATTATGTAAAATAATATTTTAGTATTCATTTAAAATAATTTGCACAAACATGTGACGAATAAATATTAATTAAGTGACAAACTGACAACAATATAATAATTAATAATCACAATCTATCCAAAACATCGTATACAGATCGGTTAATATTGTGATAAATTGATAAACAGAACTTTTTGACTGTTGATTTATTTTTAACAATTATAATATCCGCTCGATAATATAATATCGCACGCGTCCACCGAGATTATGATGTACAGTATGTAGACGCTTGGCAGTTTCCCACCGTCTTTGCAAATACCCGAAGTCGGGAAAAATTTAATCGAAGTTTATGCGAACACAAGGCTATTTTTGGATAGTGGCTATAGTGTATAATAATAATAATAAATTCTATACTGTTGTTGTTGTATAATGTATACCTTATGGTGATTAAAAATTAGAAGCTTGCGTATACCCATTATGTTCTAATGATTAGTTAGCGTATACCCATGATAGACGAATTTTTTTAAAGGTATACGCATAAATCTAAAAATAGGGATCCGGGTATATGGTATATACCCGCGTATACCCTCCAATACGCCACTGTGTATAGGACAAACATGCAGACAGTGGAGCTGCACAAGGCCTCGCGGAAGTAGAGCTCACAACAGAAAAACAAATCACCAAATATTACAATTCAGAAAAGATAACGTTATCAATAATAATATTATGTCTTTCGAACCACAGTTGAAACAATATCCTGGAGAACAGTACCAATGTACCTACCGTGTTTATATTAACACTAGTTTTGGACACGATGAATATAATATTTGTAATACTATTGCTGGCAACAGTTGTCGCGTATTGTTTCGTTTATACGTCGACGTGCGAAAAATGTACCACACACATCATCATCTCATCCCCATGTCCCGGGATAGCCCTCCAGTACGTTTCGGCGTCCGCTATTCGTTCCTCGTGTGCGCACGTCCTGCGGTCGTCAAACACTCGGGTCATCGATAGAATAGAACAGGGCTTAGCTTTAGTGTTATTTCTGTTCGCGAGTAGTTGTCGAGCTGTTTAAAAACATAGTGGCACGTTTAACCACCGGTAGGAAACGCCGATGAGCAGCCGTGTAATGGAAGAGTTCCGAAAATAAAACACCCAACTTATTTTCGCGTCGACATCAAGCCCAGTGCTACGTGTGTTGTTGTGTCAGACGTAACATTTCCTAAACGTTTCTCGGGGCACTTCTCTCAGCGGAGGAGCAAAAGTTGGTTGGATAATCCTGTATCGGAACGGGTGTTTGTCCCATCGAATTCATCCGCCCGTAATATAATGCACGTTACTTGATATTTCATACTTTATACGCATTTTTTGTAATACTATGAAATCGCTTCTTTTTTGGAAAAATGTTAAGCGCCTCCCCCATACACCACTGTGCATCGAACATTCGGTACCGAAAAAACAACGATTATTTAAAATAATAATCGACAATGGGTAATCTTGCTGAACAATGACTTCCAAGTTTCAATTTTTGTAATTCTATCATAGCAGATACCCACACGAACATATCAAGTGACGGGCGAGGGGTATCGGCCCCCCACCCTCAAAAAGTACGCCGCTGGTCCCGGACGGATTTTTTAGAACGTCGTCGGCTCGACGCCCCGAGACCTAAGGCGAGTTCGCGTGTTGATTGTTTGCAACGCGTTCCCAACGCGTTCCTCGCCGGTGTAGACGCGCCCTCAACGCGACCATCCGAGTACGCGCGCAATAACGCGTAGTAATAGTCCTGCGAGACGGGCGGCTGCGTCGAGAGCGGAAGCGAACCGGGTGCCGTTCGAACGCGGTTGGTCACACTGCGCGGCCGTAGCCCGAGGCAGCCGACCGCGCGGTGTGGGGACGACCGGGGCGGGCCGACGTGTTTTATCAGACGGGCGGGGGCCGCGGCGAGGCGTACGATATTATTGCTATTAGCATTGTTATACCGTTCCGAGGTGCACTCGCTCCGTCGTCCGTCGCCGTTCGTCTCGACAGTTTTTCGCGCTTCTCGGCCGTCACCCGTTACGTTCGCGTCGTACGTCCAAAACACCAGTCGGCCGCCGTCGTGCGTCTCGAAATCCACCGTTCGCCAACGAACATAAAACCGGTGAAAGCAGAACAAAAATTCGAACACGTCAAACCCAACCGCTGCTGCTACCCCGAGATACCGTTGGCCGTACCTACTACCCACCTGTAATACTTGTACCGACCACCTGGCTTGTACGGCACGACTGTCACCGCATCATCGTCTTACCGATCCGGTCGTGAACTTATCGCACTCCTCCGCTGTCACAACTGGCTGCGTCCGCTCGACCACACAAGCTTGTTATTATGGGTACAGCGTCGGCCAACTTTTAGAGGGATTTCACCGACAAGAGAAATAACGCGATTCGTCAACCGCCCGCCGCAGCTCGAACCTTGCCGCTTGTTCCGTAAGTTTACTTCCGTACGTTTCGTGAAGAATATCAAACAATTGCCTGATTCGTTCCGCGAACGCGTGCTCGCGCATCAACATCTGCTGCGTTCGATCGCTTTGAAACGCGTTTTATTTTGGAATTATCTGTTTTCCTCCCAAGGATGTCGTTCTTTGTCCATGGAGTTCGGTCAATTGATTTCTGTTGAGGCGTTATTTAATTTTTTATCGTTTTACCAAGTAGACGAAAACAACATTATCTACATTCCTGTGTACATATTCAATAATACGCATTGTTAGCAATAATTGTTTGGACCCGTGTGTGATGATAAAACTTGAGATTACTCATAATTACTCAAGACGCACATATATTAGATATTTTATTATAAGTTATATAATGTGTTATAAAATCTTATCTTAAGCAAATGTATAGTTTCTCTTTGTCAGAAATAAGTACAAGTCTACATGATTCAACTTTTAAAAGTATTAACAATAAATACAATTACAGGTTTTAATTGGAATTTCAATAATCAAAATGCCAGCATCAGGTCCCGTGTACCAGCCAACTACAGTAAGTTATGAACAACAAAACGAATGGTCGCAACAATCAAATGGTTTGCTCAATCGTACCCTGAATCACATCCGTAACCCAAGATGGTTTCATTGGTCATTCATTCTGATCAGTTGGATACTGATCGCCATCGGTGTATTTTTGTTCCTGTACATTACCACCAACTTTGTTCGTTCTGATGATACTAAAGATAACTATACAGAAGATATAGCATATTTGGTTATCGGTTCTTTCTGTTTTGTGTTTGGTGTCGCTTTATTGATCGGTTATTTCCGATACATCAAGGACAAAGAAAGTTGCCCTTGCTTCAATAGTAAAGCTCGACAACTGGAATCACAATCTTCCAATGGACAAGTATGTGTCTTATTATTATGGAGGCATTAATTTATATAAAATAATAAATATTATTATTTATCAAGGTCCTTACATTGAATCCATCGACTGATCTTTTGATGGCATCTGCCCAGTATGGACCATCATCAGAAGCTCCACCAACAATTATCGAAGAAGATGAAACCAGAAAATTAATGGGAAACGATAACAAAGATTGGTAAGTGTTGTCTAAGCAAGTGTCCTGTACTAAATGTTGTTTAAAACTACATTTTTAGTATGGATTAAGAAAAAAAAAATTAATGTTATTAAATCCATGATTGAACAAAAATGTAAAACTAAGTTAACGTCATAATAATTTATTATTATAAGATTTACCTATTATTCATTAACCATAGAGTTATGTTATAGTATATTTAAACTTTTATTTTTTCATGTCATTTATGAATATGACTCATTCTTATACACTCTGAAGGACATCATGTATTTTTTTAATCTTTGTTAAAACATTGTAGGAAAGAAGAATAAAAAAACCTTCTTAATAACTAATGATGGTTATTATTTAGGTATAAATTTAATCTTCATTGATAATGATTAAATTAATTATATTTGCTGTATTTAAATATTGTTTATGTGATTGTTAGTTAATTGTTTTCTAAGCCTACTTAATTTTATTTGGTTTTTTAGTTTATAAGAACAATTATTGTTTTTTTTTTTTTTTTTTTAATAAATATAAATGATATATATTGAATATAAAATATTATTTTGCATAATAGGGTGTTTATTTTTTTCATCAAAGTTTCTAAATATTCTTTTTTTTTTTACTATATTGTGTGTGCAGCAATGATGAAAGGGATCACATGTTGGTAACAAGCAACCCTCCAGTAGCGGCGCTCCGCACACATGTACCAAGTGGTATTTCGCCGCTTTCTGGTGAAGATGCTTGACTTGAGGCCAATTTCACTGACTCTCTATCGGGCATCAATGACTATTATTACAAGTGAGATGCCATTAAATCGTATAATACATTTATATCTTGCCCAAAACAAAGCATTAACAGATTTACACATACACATTATTGTTCTCTGTAGATACAACATTCCCACACTTCACAATCACTATTCTCCACAAACACCCATCCACAACAAAGCACAACCACGCAGCTGCTGGACTGCACCACTTGCATTGCATGACGACCTGACACCATCAATATGTTCGTCTGTTTGTAGTTTGGATAAGGTGAAATAAAATCCTTTTACCAAATATTTCAGTTTTATTTTTGAAATTGTTCTTATTTGGTTATCAAATTGTACAGCCGATGTTTGTGAACACACAATTTTTTTTTTTTTTTAACAATTTTACAGTACTATTGAAATAAGTTTTTTTTTTTATTATTATTTTTTTTTTCTTTAGCAGTCAATGGTATTATTCAACAAAAATTTTTATATGCATATATATATTTGTGTACAATTTAACCTTTTCTATTATTTTTTAATAATTTTATTATGTATACGTGAGTAAATTGTAAAGTTTCTATTATGTCTATAAGTAAAACTTTTTATTATTGTTAAACTTTTGCATCTTTTTGAGTGTAAAATAAGCGTAAACTTAATAATAACAAATAAAGTATTATAACGAATTTGACGTCATAAGATATTATAGTATTTATAATTCGAGTGTTCAACAACAGCATTTATTTTTAATGATATTATTATGTTGTCATAATGTTATAACATATTATTATATAATATTGTATAAGATATTGTATCGTAACAACAATGGATGTGATTTAACCTCATTAATATGTACTTTTGTATACTTACCATTTGTATTATTACCTTTGACTATGTCCATTTTTGTGTTTCGAAATTAAGTAATTTAAAAAAAAAAAAAAAATATTAATTCTAATACATAATTTAGTTCTTTTTTTATACCTCTTAACAATATTTTGGTTAACATTATTAAGGATTAATGTTACCATTAATTAATGTGATCTTAGTTTATATGTAATACTGTCTAAGCATTAATATTTATAAGTCTTGTGCAACTATCCCCAAAAAGCATATTTTAAGAACATGAGAAGAAAAAAAAATACTGATATATTGTATCTAACAAATAATATTATTCCAATATTTCTGTTGGTTTTTGTGTAATACATTTTCAAATAAAAATGTTGATACACTGACGGTTCACCATCCACCCATTGCTAAGTATATTTGTCTTTTTTTATAATTATAGCATTGAATTGCAAAAAGTAGATTACAGTTTATACATATATATATAGCTATTATACTCTGTACTCAAATACAAACCTAAGACGCTTTACAAACTTTCAATTTTATTTTGCATTCGTATACAAATATTAGTATTCCATTTGTTTTTCCTTAACCTATTATCAAAAGCAGGGCTCGTACATGCACTAGCATATCAATCTTGCAAAGTTGTATTTAATGCTAGATGACAGAAATCCATTTCAAGATACCACGGTTAAATATGTGAAATCTTATTTTACATGTTTTTGTATATTTGGCACATTTATGCATATTTCTATTTCATCAGGCATATTATACAACATTCTATTAGAATCTATCGAAAATCTAAATGGAAAATATATATAAAATTAAAAATAGAAATTGTATTATTTTTTCCTTTTTTTATCTTCTTGATACTCGTACATTTAATGAATAAATTTGTTTCATAAGTTTCAGATTCAAAATGAATTACTGACAAAGATGTTATACGCAGTTCATGAAGGTTCAAGAATAGTTTAAAATAGTTTTTAAAACCTATTTTTTTTTTAATTATGACATAAAAAAATAAAATATAGCTATAAGAAAAATGAATAGATAATTCGTTAGAATTTTTTAAATGCATAATTTTAGATATTTAATGCATATAAATGCATTTTTTTTTTTAACTTTTTAAGACATTTCAAGGCATGTTTTTGCCAAATTTAACCGCATGCTATTTAGGCAGTTTTTAGGGCATGAACTTATGAACCCTGATCATAAGCATCTGTTATGTATCGTATAATATAGCATTGAATTTATATTTACACGTGCAATGGTATTCACTAGTTGATGTAGATAACAATATTTCCATAGATGAAATCAAAGGAGAAGCTATTGTACTCCAATATTTATATGACGTGCCAATTGATTTCAAGGGCAACACGGTTATGATTATTGTTCTCAACTGTTCATAGACTAGATTTTTTTCCATTTTATTTAGTATTATTATTACTATTATTATTTTCCAACAATTTTTGTGGTCATAAACAAGGTTTTAGTTTTCAAGGTCCATTCCGATACCACGTCTTTTCTCCCAGATATCATTCGCTGTACACGTCGTCTCAATCGAAATACTTCACACAAGACGCGATAGTCGTGGACACGCAATCATTTCGATCGCGGTATTCCGAACAACATTTCTGTGTTAAAACACCGCCGGGAACAGTTAGTTCAATAATACTGTGCAATGTTACCATTAGTTTGGTTCGCGTTCGAAAAAGATTTTTCACGTGATGAAAGACACAGGTACACTACCACTCGAGTAATCGTTACGATTCGTATACCAACCAAACTCTTAGGATACATTGAATTTTAATTGAAACATAATACTATATAATATGTACACGTTGTGCGCACACTGGGCGAGAACAAATTAATGACAAAAGAAAAAATAATAATAATGAATAATTATACAATTAATACATAAGATGATAGAAAAAATAATAATTATAACCAATGTGTAGGAGGGCAGTTGGTATCGTTATGCATGAGGTACACGGCCGTGATACGGTCTGTTGTCTTCTCGTCTCCACCATGGCACACCTTCGATTCTGAAAAAAAAAAAAACCAGATGCAAAATTAAAACGTATTTTCGTATAACGTTCGACGAATAGTAATCATTCCATAACGGTTATAGGTAAATCAGGCGGTTTTACGTAAAAAATCTCCTAATCCAAAAACAACCTCAATAATATAGCTGCTCTATCCACCGTGTTACAATCTGATCGATACCTTAATTTTACATATTTTACCACCAGAACCGATTTTTAATACATTTACCTACACATAAAAAATTAACACATCTAATTTAAAATATTAATGAACACGAAATATTATACAGAAAACTCAAAAAAGGATAATCTAAAGGGCTATACCACATATTTAAACGGATCTTAGATTGCTCAAAACATTCGATTTTTAGAGATGGTAAAAATGTCATTAATAAATGAAGTCAATTGTTATTTTATTTATTACCTGTTTGTTTGTTTATTTTATTTATTATTATATGAATAAAACGAGTGGAGCAAATTACGAGAAGAAATTATAATTATATACTTTCATAAAATATCCAATGAAACAACAAAAAGCGTTATAAATAAACGAATTCAACAAAATAATGAGGATAGTAACGAAAAAGTCTAAACAGTTCACAACTGCGAAGAAGGAAAACAACGTATTTACGTAGAGACCACTGTGCAAGTTGTACAGTCAGTGCTGTAACTAGAGGTGGCGAAATGAGCGGACGCCAAGCAAAGTGAAGGGGCGCATTTGAGTTAAATTAACATTGATATTTTTGTATAAATTAATATTCGTCATGGGCGCAAAGGAGGGTAGTTTAACATGCAGTGGTGCTAAAAATTAAATTCCAAGCTCGGACGAAAGAAAATTTGTAATAAAACTGACCAAAATGTGGTTAGTGATGATAAACACCCCTACAGTTTATAGGTGACCAGTGGTGTATTGGTAAATATATTCGTGGGTATACGCACTAAAAAATATGAATACTACATTAATCCTAAAATAAATTTTCTTGCTTCGCTCGACAATTTTTTTCTCTCGAGAAAACATTTAATTAATCCTTTGTACCTACATGTTTATAATTTCTAATCTTATCACTTATTTTATTCAATGTCATTAATTTCATTTAACAAAATACATTGAACACAGCATACACTGTAATCTTCAACAGATAAATATTTCATTCGATTTCATAGTTCATAACAATTTTTTCCAAAGAACTATTAAATTATTATATTTTTTTTTATTTTCGAGTTATTTTAAAAGCGTATACCCGTAGAATATTTTACATTAGGTATACGTCGAAAATCGAAAATCTGCTAATGGATATACGCCGTATACCCGCGTGTTTACATACCAATACACTCCTGTAGGTGACCATTGTCAGGCCCGTCGTTAGACATTTTCAGTCCTAAAGCAAAAATTTTACTGTCGCTCTTTAGACAATACGAAATCGTAAAAAACCCACAGTAACAGTGATTATTATCGTCTGTTTTGGATATTTATCTAATTTTGCCGCTTAGATTTCTTTAAAACGATATGCCACTTATAAAGCGACCGCATGATTTGGTTGTGTCATAGCGACAGGCCTAACCTGACACCACTGCCCTATATTAACATATATGTTTCGTTGTTAACCGACATTTCTTTATAGACGCGTACACACACGTTTCGATTTGGTCACAAATCTGTACGCGCATAATACAACACCCGAGACATCTTCCCTGCGGACACGTGTACCGGTGATATGCACTCACTGTTGCGGGTCGATGGAAGCCGTTTCGTAGTGATGCGCGTTGTAGTTGGACTCGTTATCCCTCTGCCCCACGTACTGGTAAACGTTGCCCTGGAACTGCCGCCGGAGTGTGTTTTCACCGCCGCCACCAGCCGCCATTATGTTCTGCAGCGGTATCGTTTCGGTGGCCGCGGCGGACGACTGGCCAGCGGCGTTGTTGCTATTGTTGATCACCATCACCGCGGCCGCATTGGACCTGTTGTGCTGGTGGTGCCGGCCGTTCAGCTGCCGGTGACGTTTGCGGCGGTCCGCGTCTTGCCGCACACGACATTGGACGGCCATCAGGAACGCGCTGACAGGGAGCAGCAGACCGCCGATGTAAAAGAACCTCGGATCTTGGATCGTCACGATGGCTGCCATGATCAACAGAAAGCCCACCGTGATGCCCGAAAAATAAAATGCCTGCGAAGGAAAAATCAGTGGTTATTATTATTGTTATTACAATATAAAAGTTAATTTCGGTGTTTATAATGTACGCGCGGATTTAGGGACGTATTCGGCCTGTACAGAAGAATATAACTGCAAGAACCGCTCCTAATACTTGAAACCTATAGCTTAAGTCATCCAATGATATATATTCAATATTGCTGTGTATGTAGTAATACAATTAAGTAGTAAACTGACTTTTATATTTACTATATCAAAAAAATATAAATAAAATATAACAGTTAACGGTCCCAGCTGCTAAAGTGATTAATTATTCAGAAAAAAATACCCTTTTAAATTATTTGTTGTCCCTTTATGGTAATATATACGCAAACCAACAGATTTACATCAATTAATGGTCATTTTTCACAAATACTAATACGAATCATATGCAGATGAATAACATAATAATGTCATTATTTACTTGCGATCAATAGTCGGCATGTGTACAAGAAATACAATTGCTTAATGGACAAAAACGATCACCGAATAAATCAAAATTAATACAAGACATTTATATATTAGTCCAAGAAATTATGAGATATATCAAATATAATGGATCCATACGAGAATTTAATGTAAACACATTTAATTTAATTTAAACATCAGATTTTGGATATTATCGTTTTTGACGACAGCGTTTGAGTAATGGGTCAGGAACACATACTTTCCTAATCACAAGAAATGCATTACACATTAACGAGTTAATTTTAAAAAACTAATACACATTTATTACTCCATTTATCAAGTGACTGGGTTCCAAATTACAAATTATTTTCTACTCAGTATGGAATTTAGATCAAATATTGGGGCATTAAACAACGAGTTCCATATGCATTGAAGGTTACCGAACTACCATTTCAATGACTGTTAATCGCTAAATAATTAAATACCTAAAATGCTAATAACAAAATGTTTTTATATATGTATTATTTATAAAACCCAACTGGACGTGTTACGTAATATAATAACTCCACGAAGGAGAAATAAAAGTGTATTAAAATAATCACGCATGTTGGCACTAAAACGTTGAGTTAATAATATTGGAATTCCTAAATTTTAGAGTGATAATAGCGTACTGGAGTGGTGGAAAGCGTGACTAACTTTTTTGTCTCGTTATGTAAAACAATATTGTACGCTGTACATGTTTTGTTTATAAAAAGCCACTAAAACGCGTTCCGACTTCTTCAAGTCTCGTTACGTCATTATGGGTGTATAATGTGTGTCATGTACACGACTTACCAGCAAACAGAAATGGCAAAAGTTTTCGAACCTAGGACAGTGGCCGCCGCAAGCGTCGACGGCCACGTCGCAAGAGGGCAGCAGCAGAGGCATGGCCCCGGAGGATTGCTGCTGGTGATGGCGAAGCACCAAACCGCTGCCGGCCGTGGCCGACGTCGGCAGTCCCGCGGTCTGGGGTTGTCTTACGGTCGCGTTCTGCGGAGGCAACGGCGGTAAGTATTGCGTGGCCGCGTTCGCGGCTGGCTGCTGGTGATGGACGACCGAAGACGACGACGGGTCCGACGGCCAAGCTGCCGCGGTCATTTGCGGCCGCTGCTGCTGCTGCTGTTGGTGGTGGTGGTGCAGCTGATGTTGCGATTGGTGGTGCAACTGTGGCGGTGACTGTTGTTGATTATACTTGATGCCGGTCGTGGTCACCGACGACAGGGCGTCCGGGTCGGTAGTGGCTCCGCCGCCACCGTTCTTATGCAGAGTCCGAGCCGTCTGCCGGTGACTGTTGTACACCCGGTGATGTTTGGCCCGGCGGTTGCTCGTGTACGTCCGCTCGTTCGAACTGTTCGACGACGACCCTCCGGCAACCGGAGAATGTCTGTCCGCGCTCCAAGCATTTCTGTTGTCGGAAAAAAAAAAAAAAAAAACAACAGTTCAGATATTATTGCCGTCGTCGCAATTTTATATTTTATAATCGATAACATTACACGTATGTATATTCTGCGCGAGTATTTGCAAGATGGATCCACATAGATAAGGACGTTGTTAATAAAACCTATCCCAACAATGTTCATAAATTCCTGGGACACACCCCGTTTCGTAACATATTTATAATAATGGTTTTTTTTTTCAAGTCATAATCCATTTCGTTATCGGTGATATTGGTACAATTTCATACGTTTACACGCATAGAGTTTATAACAATTGATACGACTTCAGTAATTTTATTATTATATTTATATTTTAAAGTTAAAAGTCTCGTACACGGTACATACTTGTGACGCACAAAATCAACCGCGCCAACGAAAATTATGGTCTTGCCTAAACGATCAACGAATCATATAACTTTACACTATGGAACAAACTCGAAATTCAAAAGGGAAACGAGGCGAGACACTCCATTATCTTTTATTTAACCATATATTTGATTTATAAAGTAATATTTGGCTCTAATATATTTTTCAGAGACCCTTTTCTCTCCCAATTCACATTTTATTATTATATACATACTTCGTATATTAAGATATGTATATTAAATATACTACAGCACCGAATTACGAGAGATCTTTCCCTATTTCCAACTCCACTATCAAATACTTCCCCACTAATAGAGCTGTTATATACATTTATGTTAAAGGGTTTTTTTTTAAATATATAAAAACTTTCGCAAGAGGCCAAAGGCAATAAAATAATGTGAATGAAAACAATAAGGAATTCTTTGCTTATTGTCCGCCAATATAATGATAAAGAGTTCGACACGATTGTCGTCTGTACTATAATAAAAACGATGGATTATAATATATTATAATCCATCAATTTTACTATTGTTATTATACCTGGTACGTGACGAATTTTAATCAGAGTAGTATTCGAAATTACCTCGGGGTAGTAGTATTGTAAAACTAGGTATTCTGTATGAAAAGCAAAACCTTCGTCGATTTTTAGATCGTTCATGCAACATATCCCGACTACTGTTGGAGTGAATACCAAATTCATCGTCTCCTACTCCAATCGACTCGCACATTAAAAAGAGAACCCCGAGGTTATTTGTCGTCCACTCACCTGTCGTAAAAGAAATACCGCACACAGACACTCAAGTAAATTTATGAACCGAGCGTTAATCAATATTGTACAAGTCTCTGGGTCAGTATTTTTGCCTTTTGGCATTGTATAATAAATATATATACAATATACAATTACATTGATACTATTTAAAAAGCAAAAAATCGTTTTCTTAAGAACGAATTTAACGATATTCTTTAATTGATGTGTAAACAAAGTTTCATAAGGAAATATAACTTGTCTAAGACGAAAACTAACATTTGTCTTCAGAAACTTGAGACAACATACCATCAGTGAAATCCGACACTATACGCTCTGTTGTCTCACTGATTCAAGTATTAACTGGATACATCTGTAGTAGCGAGAATAATGACTGGGAGTAATTGTATCTCTAATTGAAATTCAAATACATTTAGATACAATTTAAGTAAATTGCAAATATCTAACACCTCTACACCATTATATGTGTTTTCAATAGATATATTTTTGAAGATTTTTACATAATTTGTAAATGTTAATTACATACAACAAATATTTTGACCATTTCGAATGTTAGGTATACATATATATTGGAAATAAAATGATTTACCTGGGCAGCGAGTGGTGGTGGTAGTTATTAGACGAAGGCCTAGATCCGATGATGTTAGGCTGTTGTTGCTGAACGCTGTAAAATTGCTGTTGCAATTGTGACTGGTGTTGCTGCTGGGATTGCTGCTGGAAGTGGTGATGAGCACGGCCGTTGTACGTGTTGTTGCCGTGCACCGGCGGTGGCGGCTTAGTGTAGACGCCCGCCGGCGGTTCCGGACCGTATTGTTTAGTGCGTCCATGCCTTGACATGGCGCATCAACATGTCGCCGTGGCTCGACCGTCGTCGTTGTCGTATGCACTCGTCACTGGCATGCCTGTGGAAAAAAAAACCTTGTTCAATTGTAATCTGTTTTATAAACAGGCACGAGCAATAATAATATGATAACGACTCGGATTCTACAGCATTTGTTATTTATTACAAAATACTGATAAAATATGAGAATAGGTTACACATTGGTTTTAAGCATAGACTTAGGGTATTTTAAGATGTATGGTTTCAAGTAATAATTGGATTTTCGATCGAAAATGTTATAGGTACTTTTTATAATTTTATATTTTTATTTTATAGTGATATTTTTGCAGTTTTTGTGCTGTTTATTGCTGATATCTCGGACTCGGAAGTTATTACATTAAAAATGATAACAATTGATTGCATTATTGCAGTAAAAGATAATAAAAATTGCATTATTTCAGTAAAAAAGTATCCAAAGTTGGACTTAAAGTTGCAATAAACTTTTTTATTTACCAAAAAAAAAATTTTAGATGTATTTTTTTAAGACTATCATACACACATGAATTTTTTTTACAAAATATCTCAAATTAAAAAATCATATTAATACTGGAACAGTGGTTTTAGTCTGATTTTCCTGTAGCCTACAAATAAAACTATTAATATTTAAAAACGTTTTATTTTAATTTAATTAATTTTTTTTTTTTTTTTTTTAATACACATTTGTATGCCTACCTTAAAAAAATTTTCTATAAGTTTTCTATCTCGAAAGAATACTGATTTGAGGACAACAAGTTGTGCAACTCGTGCATCGGCTTATAAAATAATATTTCAATCACTGTCATCACAATCAACAAAAAGCCAGAAATAACCATAAATTATTATTTATTATTATTATATTATTCTGACATATATTAATATCTAACACGACCCCACGTCGTTATTATATTTCTTACGTAAAAATAATTAGTTTTTTTTTTGCTATTTTTCATGCTTAGAGATTATAGAGTTTATTTTAAAAATGTTTAAGTCATCAAATAGTGCATATTCTTTTAATTTTTCATTTATGACAATATATTTAATATTTAAGAAAATATACGAGATTCTATTGAAAATTATGTTAATATATAGGTTTGTTCACATCTAGGTGTAGGTACACATTTTAATAAGAACCCATTTTATATTGCTATTTCAGAAAGTTCCAATGTTATATATATTTATAAATATAAACGAATGGCTTTACAAATTAATAATATAAAATACAAACTATAGGTGTATACGGTTTTGTTAATATTAGATATTTATTGTCTGAACTGAGGTATTATATAAAGATAATAAAAAGTGTAATTATAATGCTTGATCATTTCCAGAAACAACCGTCGATAAAATACAAGAGTAATATCGAGATAACAAAGAAATATTGTAAACAAAATAAATGCAAAAATAAATAAATCTTTAGTTCAAAAATCAATTTTGAGCTAATTAAAATTAATTTTATAAAGTAGGAGTAGCGTTTCCCAATATTACTTTACAATGATTTTCTCGGGAAAATTGAATAACTACTTGGTCTAAGTACTGAATTTTTTTTCATTGTTTAGTTTTTAATGAAATTAAAATCAATAAATATTTACATAAGACAGAATTTTACAATAGTTATACGTATTTAGGTTAAATCTAAGTTAAATATGGTAGAATAGTATTTTATATTTAAAATAAAAAAACGTATCTGACGTTTCAAGAGAGGGAGACTGAAGTCCCAGTGTAGCTCTCCGTGGTTACAACAAAGTACATCTACTATTGATATTTTGTATTGTTATAAGAAGTTTTCATCAGTTTTAAAAAACCAATTCTTAAATCAATAACTCTTATAATAACTATCTCGTTGTGTCAGAAATAAAAAATGTACAATAACCATTTATTAATAAGTTAGGCATAAGAGTATTTTTATGACTAGCGTGGTGTACACCACAGTTTGAACAGCTGAGCTTGCTGTCACCGTCTAATAAAGACTTAGAGTTATAAGAGATCTAGGTTGTTCACTAACTATTGTATTTTGAATAGGAGTTAAAATCACAAGAATTTTATTTGCTCATGCTATTTTCAAAAATGTCAAAATATCATAATTCATTAAATATTACACTACATCATCATTGCTCAATATAATGTAAGCAAGTGAACCAAAATACTTTTTCTTCGTCACAGATCCATACATTAATAAATTTTAAGTATATGACATACACAAAAAGATCAAAGAGTGAATATGAGCATGTGTGACACACCCTAACCACACACGCATATACACCTATATACACATAGCTCAAAATCATTAGTTATTAATTGGATACTTATATAAGAATATTATTTTAATTAAATTTATTTTTGGGCGTAGGCGGTAAGAGTATAATGTTAAAACCAAGTAGCCCATTATTAAATTTGAGAACAAGAAAGTTACCCGTATATGTCACTCATTGCGTTACTTGTTGATATAATAATTCCCTACAAATAATAAAGGCAGTCAAACTGCAGATGTAACAACAAACGATATGTATAAGGTATGTTTATTTGAGGGTAAAATATATTATTTGCAAATATACTGAACAGTTTTTGTCATATATTTGAGGTCAGGTACATATCCCCCAAACAGTTCATTTGTATTTGGTAGACTTGTCTATACGTATTTTTGGTCAACTCGCCTAAATTAGATTATTTACTGAATTTGTTTGTATAAGTTCACAAGAAAAATAATACAAATTTATACTCGTATTTTAGGTTTTTCTTAGCAAAGAAATAAAAATCGAATATTTTCCACCTCACAGTAACTCGTAGAACGCTATATAATACTGTTATAGCTTCATTCGACGAAAGTGTACATTATAACATGTTTTTATCGCATGAATCATTTATCTCGTTTGTAATAATGAATAGGAATAAAAATAATGCATCACGGAAAGCCATTATAAAAACACAAAGACGACCGCACAGCATTATAATTGTAGATAATAATTTCCGGTTTTAAATAACAAGACCAAGTCTTCGTCACTGACGATTAAAGAATTGACTACAAAACATTTTTATTTTTTTTTATTTTACAAAACTTAGGCTTACAAAACATTATAAATTCATAAAACACTCGTTGCAGCTTTGAACGTTTATTATTTGCGGTGGTTTCATCAAAAAAGACCAAATGATCAACAATGAATAGTGATTTCTATAACATATAAACAGTAAAAACAGAAAACTGTTCTTTTTTTCTTTATTTGCGAAATAAATATGCGTAGAGTTCACTATATGAGTTAAGTATAGTTTTGAGTTTTATTTTAACTGTAACTTGCAAATAAAATTATGTTTCTTAAAGATATTCCGTGTTTACATGAAATACGGACGAGTAATCGATAGCTACCGCACACGACACGTTCCTTTTCAACAATCCTATTCAACTATACATACGATAAATGTTTTTGAGTATTCTTCGCGCGCGCGAGCACTCACAGGCACGATACTGGTATAACAATAACGTAAAATTAATTGCTGTTGAAAACCACCTGCCCACCATCCAGGGGGGAAAAATTCGAGTTTTCTCATTTAACGATGCGTTCTGACAACAATCGTTATTTGACGCAAGCACTTACTTAAAAGTAATATAATATATATATTCGGAATGAATAAATTAAAGGCAAACGCGGGTGATGTACAGTGCGAATACAAACTCGTGCTCACATTTTATGGGCCGGGTCACGAAGGTCACACGGAGGGAATATAAGAAATGAAATCTTGAAACTTCGTAACCCAAAGGGAAAAATTATCATCAAACGGGAAGTAAAAACTTACTTTTAATATTGAGAGTTTTTCAAAATTAATTTTACCGTGCTATTTACATGTCGTTTATACTCCGTTAAGGCTTAATCGTAGCAGTTCAATTGATGCTGTGTGACCGGTGCCTAATACTACTAAACAGTATATTAGGTACGCGTACACACGTCAGGTGTAGGTACCTCGGCCGCACGGATCGGAAAGTGCCCCGGAGAGCCGAAAAAAAAACCGGTTGTCCTGCGAGCGCAGACCTATAATTTATCAATCCTCAAATGTTCCCTTAACTAGACTACACGAACGCGCGCATGAGAGACGATCGCGCCGCGGCCGCCGACCGGCAGAAGAGGAGTGGGCGGCGGCGGTGGCGGCAGTTATAATATTATGGAAAGAACAAGGACCGGCTAACGAGCGTCCAATGCAAACAATCTGTGTGTGTACAATAATATACATATGGATTTTTTTCCTTTTGAAATTTTCTAATATACTTATAATACCTATATATATATATATACGTAAAATTCATACTGAGGTTCACTAAGAAGACTAGTATTACAACTATAGTAGCTAGTATACACATACAATTATACACTGAAGCTATTTTCTCCGATGTTGTTTTTGTATTTGTCTACTGCAGAGCACACGAATAATATTTAAATCGATTGTAATAAAAAATATTAAAAAAAAAAGACTACGGTCGTTTCATCAATGCCGCCATAGGCAGTTAAAAAGCGCTGCGGGCGAATTATATGGTAATCACCTCATCACCATGTTATTCCACGATGCATATAGTAACTCCTCATACAACAACATACGACGAGTTAAGCGAAACTATAATGTTATTATTAATGTTGTGGGTATGCGCAACGACAATACACAGAGAAGAACTACTCCTAGAAATGTGTATTAATATTAATAAGGTTCGGAAAAAGGCGAATAATATCCGTTGACTTTAATTGTGTATTTGGACCGTTTAAAAAAGTAAACAAATTATACCTAAGAGAAATCGGTTAGAAAAATGTTCAAAAACAAACCAAACGTAAAATGGGATCCTACTTTTATGGGTCGCACATGACGGGCAATAATTATTATTGTTCAAGACCATTATTATCGTTTGAACCTTTCCAATATTCCGAAATTAACAGCTGTAAGTAGTAGTTCGAGCATAAAAACCGAGAAAAAAAAATAAGATAAAATATATTTCATGTTTTACTAAACAAACAAATTGAGATAAAGGTTGTTGTACAATTCACAGATTATATGAAGAGGTCGTACTAA